CATACGATAACAATTGATTAGTTGGATATTTAATTTGTTCACATGAAATTGTTCCGTAGAATTTTGGAAAGATGAAAAAAAAGACCTATTATTCGTTATTATGTATCCTTCCAAACTTTTTCCTTTCCGACACTTTTTTCAACTCGTCCAAGTCGCTTGCTTGGCTCCATATTCAATCAAAAGTTTAGAGAAAAATTAACCTCTTTCTCACTTAGTCTACTTTTTCCTTCCTTCGTTTCTTCAAACTTATTCAATTTTGCAATATTACAGGTTAATACCGGGCTTAAGAAGCCAAACGTCGGAGATATGTTTCGAGAAAAAGAAAAACTTTACTTATTTTATTATACTATTAATGAAACAAAACAAATGTTCTTTTTTCTTTTGAATCGACTATAATATCCCTTTAATTAAATTTCCCTAAAAAAGTTGAAAATGATTTGATCTCTAATCGACATAATTGATTCATCGAGTAATCTAACAACAGCAAGAAGAACAACACTCTCCAAACCGTGTGTTCCAAGTTGAAAACAGCTCGATGTTTCGAGATTTGGAAATTTTTCATCAAAGATACATTTCACTTGTTTTACATTATTTTTGCTTAATTTGAAGAGTTGGTAAATTTGTGCATAACTCGAGTCACTTGAGAAAAACAGCAAGATAAACTTTCTCCTTGGTGTTTTTTTGCTTGGTACACGGTAGAAATTCGTCTCTAGTTAGTGTTTCGAAAAGTTTTCTATCGTTAGAGTTATAAGGATGAAGGTGAATATCGTCCAGGCAGCCGTTGGTGCCGAGTGTAAATCTACTTGGCCGCTTGGGTATTATAAAAGGGCTTTCGCGACGGCATGGAATTCCGTTGAAAAAGTACGTGTATACGGCACTTTGCTTTGGCTCCTCTCCAACGGGGTCGGTCGGTGTTACGTTTCACGATTCGAATTTAACCGACTCGGTCTCTGCCACCCATCGCCACCCATCTCTGCGTGTTGTTACCGATACATCCGAAAATACTGGATTCGTTTAACGATCATTTCCAATTGACTTTGGTCCCTTTTAAAAGCGAAACACTGTACTGCAACACTGTGCTGCAACACTGTGCTGCAACACTGTGCTGCAACAATTTCTACCAACTCCCCAAATTGACGTTTTTTCTTAAGGGATCAAACTCTTGACTGGCTGGTTCATTGTTCATTGGATTTCTTGCTATCATCTCGACACAATACCTTCGGAAAAACATATTGCCATCTTTTCAGTCCTTGAGTGACAAAGCAACCCAATAAGGGTATTGCTCTAGTGTGTAACTCGATCCGATCCTCTTCCGTGAAAAAGCTTACATCTTGAAAGCAACACGGAATATATGTATTTTCTTGTAAGAAAATGAATGAAATTCGTTGCTCGCAATTTCTTTGGTCTTCTTGACTCGCCATAGTTGCAACATTCGATATTTTTCATTTATTTGTTAAACATATTTTACGACAACATTTGACTTTATGAAGTTTAGTAGTGCAGCAACAACAGTCACAACACACACCTTGTATGTAGAACACGCGCTAAACTCGCTCCAAGTTGTCAGAATACATATCAGATTCTCGTGAGAATAAGGATGGAATAAAAGTTTGCATTTTTTGAACAGCAATAGTCGAGTTGAAAGCTAAAAGTTTCTCTCACCGAGACGTCTCTAAAAGTCTCAACGCTTTTCTTTCGTCGTCCTCTTTTACCATCTCTTTCTTTCTTTCTTTCTTTCTTTCTTTCTTTCTTTCTTTCTTTCTTTCTTTCTTTCTTTCTTTCTTTTACAAGAGAACTACATTCCAAGTATATATATATATCTATCTATCTTATCGTAGGCGTTATTTCGAAATAATCTCTCAGATCCGATCAAAAGTTTAACAATAGGGAAGAAAGAAAATTCGATAAGAACCAAGGAATCTATTTTCTAAGAATAACCAAAAAGATTCACCACAATTTTGTATACATATGTATACACATTACGTGCTCATATTTACAATATCGGTATAAAACATCAAAGGGAAACCGTAACGTAACGTTAACGCGTAAACTCAAGTTCATCTTAAACTCTGAGCGTTCATCGCGTGCCTTAAGAAGGGAAACCTTCGTGTAGTACGATTTTACGCCGTTAAACAAATCTAATTTTCAGCGACAAATATTGAAGCTGTTATACGAAGTCGCACGAGCACGTAGACTGAAATGCTTCTGGAATGTAGAATAAACAAACCTGATACGCGAGTATATTCGTGATGTACAGATTATACACAGAGAGTGTATCGAAAACTTCATAAAAAATATCAATTTATCTAAAGAAATGTTTGAAAAATGGCCATGCCAAGAAATTCTAGCTCACACGAATAAAATATACTTTTATCCCGAGTTAATTTTTCATAAAAGTAAAACTGACGAACGTATTTCGCATGATAAAGTTAGCAGTTGTATCCTGCGTTATATGTGACATATTATTAATAGTCAACGTTGGCTGGAATTTATCGCCAAAGTAGATGACATTTCGATCGAAAATATCGTTAAAGTTAAAATTACTCAACATAATGGGGCGATAAACATGAAACGATCTCAAAAGGGTTATTGTATTTTCAAGGAGATTTCCTTGAAAGTACGAGAAGCTCGCATCCGGCTTGGGAAAGCGTTCAGCCGGAAGTCAGATAGTGCGAATCGATGTAAACCATTCTTGAATTTCTCCATAGTAAAGCGAATGAAAAAGGGGATGAAAAAGTGGTGCGTGGGTGATGTGTGGGCGGTGTTTGGCCAACTTGTATAATACAGTTGGACAATAGAAAGAAATTAGGAAAAAAGATTGGAACGTGGCAACATTACGCGAGCTTGCCGAGACCTGCTAACCGCGAAATCGATATTTAAATTCATTCCATTAATGGAAGTCCGATCGTTGAGTAATCTTGTACCGAACAATCCCTCGAACAATCCCTCGAACAATCCCTCGAACCCGTAAATTCGAAGAGAATGCGAATGCAAGGCTTGGGGAAATAACCAAACGCGCGATTAAACGTCTATTATGTACATGTCCAATGTAAATATTGACGTTTAGACGAATTTACAGATTGTCGGATACTATTATTATTTCTAAATATAACTAGGAAATATTTGAAACGCACGCGTTTCATTAAAATGAAAAAAGAGGATAAAGAGAAGGAGGAGGAGGGAAGGCAGGGCAGGGCAGGGCAGGGTAGGCAAAGTTATAAAAGACGTTGTCGTTCTTCGAACAGCTTGTCTCGCGGCGGTGGAAGAATATTATGGCAACGGTATGGCAACGGTATGGCAACGGTATGCCACACTATCCAACTGCATTCGCGTTTATAACCCGGAACACTAAATAACACGTAGCACCTGTGAGATATCCAACGCTTTTATATATAGTTTTATCTCTTTTTCTACTCAACTTTCAGCTAATGTCTTCATTTATTTCTTCTTAAATCAAGGCTTGAAAAATGATTTCAAATGTAGTCTCAATAAATAATAATTACTATTAAAGAACTTTATATATTGGACGTACGTTCGCAAGTACTTTATAATCATTAAGGACTTTAATGCGTTGGTTGAAAAGGAAAATGAAAACTAGGACCAGCACTTCTCGCATTTGTCAAATCTATGAGAAAGTTGATAATCATATGTGTCGATTATATAAACGCAAATTGTCAACGGTATAATGAGTGACGTATAGCCAAACTATGCACGGTAATAACGGAGGGGGAACACGCGATATATCGACATTTATAAACCGAAAATCCTGTCGCTTGGAGAGCAACGGTCAACGTCATACCGAAAACCACATTTCGTGGCTGAATCGACGTTAGTTCACCATCCAACCGAGCAAATTTATCATTGCATACGTTGTATTTCTCCCTATGGTTTTGCTTTAGACTGAACAAATACAAAATTAGGCGAACAATTATTTTCTTTTTTTTTTTTTTTTTTTTAGATATCAACGATCAGATATTTCAAATATTACGAACATTTTTCATTTCTTTCATTTACTCGAAGATTTTAAAATCATTTCAATTTCAACTGTGTGTGTATGTGTGTGTGCGCGCGTATTTAAATATTTTAAATATAAAACCTCACATTTCTTATAATCCAACATATTGTAGGTAAAAAAAAGGGGAACAAAAAGTCTCGTTCAAAAAATGTTTCCATTGAAAAAAAGAAAACAAAATAAATTGGCTTACAAAGGATTAACATATGCATTATATGTAAGTTTAAACTTGTATTTCTAGTTGAAATTAAAATGGCATTTAAATGAAAGCGAACGTAGAAGAATAGAATGGATGGTTCTCGTTCTAATTTCACATACGGAACTTGAAACTTCCTATCGGATTGGAGTTTAAAAGCCACATAAGCGCATCGACGATGTTAGTCAACTGCGATAGCATTTGCGAATTCGTCGGATCATCGTACTTCAATTCTCAATTCCTCTTTTTATTTCTCTTTACCTTTTTCTATGCTCCTTTTCCTCTCTAGCGTATAAACCAGCATATGTATTTTACTTTGCTCACACACACACACACACACACACACTTATGTTCACATATATATATATATATGTCGACTACGCGCGTGTGTGTATAACTACCCTTTTGTTCTCCAGTTTCACATTTTTCTCCTCCCTGCCTTTTCTCTTGATTTTGTTTTGTTTTTTTTCCTTTCTTTTTTTCGTTGCTTTGTAGTGTACCTACTAACTAATACGTCACCTGACTGACGGAATTTTTATAGAAATTATACGAGGTATACTCGTGACGCACGTAACTCCGTTCCCGATTCGTATCGCTCATAACGTTGTTTAAATCTTACGGAATAATAAGCGCTTAAATATTAGAGTATTATGTGTTTTCATGTGTTCTGCTGCAATAATAAAAGTATGTTATACTAATTGTTAGCATTTTAATAAATTTCCTTTATGACGATAACTCGAATAATATATAAATATATTTGTATACATTTAGTATAAAGATAAAATCGCTCACCATAGAGTAACATCGAAAATATGAAAACGCAGATCATCCTGAGGGACGCGTTCGTGCCATTACCCACGGTGTTATATTGTAAATCCATTCGCAGTGCTTTTACGGTCCATCGTTTCCGGTACATTTCACGATATTCCCTTGAAAACGGTGTAACCTGACGAAAGGAAGAATTTTCTTCCTACACGGTAAACACGGTGCCACGGTACACACGGTACACACGGTACACACGGTACACACGGTGCACGGTGCACGGTGCACGGTGCACGATACACGGTACACGGTACACGGTACAAAGTACACAGTACTCTTTTCCTCAATGTATCTTTCGATAAAGAATCTTGCACTCTCGAGGACCTTTCTCACCCTTCTCACCCTTGAAAAAGTTTTTCAACACTCGTCACCTTCCCTCCGGAACTTTCACCCTATCGGTCATCCGTCGGCTCCTTTTTTTTCCCATGTATAAAAAAAAAAATAACATAATCAACCGAATCGTTCTTCTCTCTCTCTCTCTCTCTCTCTCTCTCTCTCTCTCTCTTGTTGGCAATTAAATGAAAAAAATTGGAATAATAAATGTTTGCATTTTTGCTTCCTTTCTGTTGCACTAAATAAGTTAAAAAACACAAAGGCGTGTATGGAAAAAAGTGAGAATAAAGAGGCATCTCAGCATCTCTCGACGCTGTTGTGGTTTTTCTCGTTGCAATTAAGCGAGGACGTCGAGAAATAGGTTGGACGGCCGGCGGAGGCTTATGATTAAGCTTAATGCGTGCATGCGTGTCGAGGATTTTCTCCTTTTCCCTTGGAAACGTTGGAGAAACAAATCTCCTTTTTAATTCGTGCCACACGTCACTGTGAAATAAAACCTTCCAAAAATAGAGATTAAAGTTTTACGAAAGAAGAATAACCAACAGGGTAGGAGGTTGTTTCATTGAAGAATATACACCGATAAAAACGAAAATTATACCATAATGAATATTTGTTCATGACCAAAATAAAAGGCGCACGCGCAAAATATCGATATCGTCCACAAAAGAAACATGCTACCGGCGTTTTTGAATAATCCCACCTATGATAAAAAACAGAAAGAGGATAGACGAGTAAAGCGGTGCGTAAAATTGAATTTTCTTTCGTAAAAATCGCCCCCACGCAAATCGAATCACCGATGAAACTTTTATGTTTTTCATTCGGACGACGAAACAAAAATACGTCACTACTATGTTTATTTGCCTATATGTGTTGCATCCATTAGTTATCCTCGCGAAATTGTTGTTTTCGATCTGAAAACAAATAGTGGACAGCAAACAAATTCCAACAACGGCAACGGCAACGGCAACGGCAACGGCAACGGCAAAGGCAACAACACAACGATGTAACAAACGATTGTTATTTTTTTATATTTAAACAAAAATAGGTGTACACGTATCAATTTCCCCTTCCCCTCTTATATCCATCGATATCCAGTAGTCCTGGTGGTGGTAACTCACGGCAAACGGGATATTTGTCCAGGTCGTATCAAGATTATCAGCAAAGACTTATTACAGCCTGTTGATTTGGAATATAAACTATTGATGGTAGTTTCAATCATTACTCGTGTTTTGTTTATAAAGAATTTTCACTGATTTTGAATTCATCGCACGTATAATCTAGGAATCCAGAAGACTCTTTTTTTTTTCTACGAGTTAAAAAACAGAGAGAGAAAAGAAAATAAGGTCTATCCTCTGACCCTTCTTCCTCGACGTCTTAACAAATCTCTCCAGTTAGGGTGGAGAACTTTTTCGAGGCCCAAAGCTTGTTGATTCAGTACTTTTCAAAAGAACGGTGTTGACCAAGTAACGACAAATTGTCGAGTAAAATAAAACTGGACTTTTAGACAAAATAAAAGGAACATTGAAACAACAACAACAACAACAACAACAACAACAACAACACAACAAAAACACACGAATTAGGAAATCGTTGGCACGTGGTCAGATTTTGGTGGACTCTTTGTCTTTCATCCAAACTTATCTAACATTGCGTTTTACACTAATTTTGGATGACGTACTGCTCTAAATAGTCAAAAAAAAAAATAATTAAAAAAGGAAGAAAATGAAGTAAACGAAGTTAAGCAAAGAGAGAGAGCAGACAGAGAGAGAGAGAGTAAGAGATAGGGAGAGAAAAATTGAGTAAACGAAACACACACACACGCGCGCGCGTCAGTTTTCCTTCATCTTAAACGGTCTCGGTACTCGATGCGATGGTGTTCTTCGCAAGGGAGTCGCGCGCGCACATACTCCGACAAATAAAAGGTACACGCGCGGCTTAGCGATACTGAGCGAGTAAAGGAGTCAGGTGACGAAGGGTGGATAGAGACGGGACAACATCGCAAGGGAGACGCGTCACGGGGATCTCATCGTTCTTCCTACTGTGAGCCTCTGGAGTCTAAGGATGATCAAGAGAAAGACAGAAATAAGGGGGGTGGTAAAAGAGGGAAATGAGAGAAATGAGAGGGAAGGTAGGGAAAAAGAGAGAGTGAGTGAGTGAGTGAGTGAGTGAGTGAGAGAGAAAGAGATAGAAAGAGATAGAAAGAGGGAGAGAAAGAGACAGGTGCGTAAAGAGACCACCGGATGAAATGGTGCCGTGGTGGAGACCCCGATCCAACTGCGCCAGCGCTTAGCGAGATACCAGCCCCCGACCACCGACGTCGACTCTTACCACCACCCTTACCGCCACCCTTGCCGCCACCCTTGCCGCCACCCTTGCCGCCACCCTTGCCACCACCATCCTTCCCTTCCATATCTAGCGAGCCAACCACTACCAGCAACACCAGCAGCACAACCGCCACTCTTCCCCCAAACGTCAGCAATGCCAGAGTTCACTTTTCTCTTTGTTTCTGCCAATGCCACCACGTTCGACGACAATACTCGTTACATACCAAAAACGTGCGTTGTTAAAACGACTAACGACTTTCTAACTCTCCTACCATCTTCGCATTGTCTAGGTGTGTTCTCTTTTCTTTTTTTCTTTTTTCTTTTACTTTTATTTTCTACCTTGCTCCAAGATCGTTACAAGAGAACTCTTTCCACCCATCCATTCTCGTTATCACGCAGCATGATCATGCGCGTGGTTTTGCTTTATGATTGCTATGATTATACGCCCACTTATGTAAATTATTAAATATATATATACAGATATAGATATAGATATGTTTCTCTGCGGGTAGGTAAATAATCAAGTAAATCCTTATATTTAGTGGTATTCGTAAGACACCTGGATAGTCATATAACTCGTAAAACACGATATGTGCACGAATGAAGAGAAATGGATGCATTGTTACCAAGAAATAAAGCTCGTTTTCTCAACTGATAAAGTACACTTAGGATCGTTTCCCTTGACCTATATTTCTTCCAAAACTTTCATCTCTTTCCATTGTTCCGTTCATCCAACTGGTACAAATTTTTCTAAATCGTACTAAATATATTCCTATGCTTGTTTAAAAAGTATAATTAATTTCGTATCGTGATACATACTTGTATATGCCTATCTCTTGTTCTGAAAGACTTCATCTCCTGAAGGCAGGCATTTTCCATCCAATTTTGTTTCAAGTTCTCTTTCGCATAAAGCCGATCTCACGAGTTAAGATAAATTTGCGAGAGACTCTGCTACTGAATTATATCACCGTAGATATTAACGTAATTATTGTACTACGGTGCTTATTAAGAAAAGACGACTATTTCATTTGAATATCTATTTTATAAATCCTTGAAGTCTTTTGTTACCATTTCAAGAGGAGACGTTTAAGTGACGCTTATTCGCACACGAGCCAGTTCCTTTCAAAGAATCAAATCGCTTGATGTACACCGTTCAACAAAAAACCAAATACAATATATGTACTATCAAATAAAAACCACTCAAGGATAAGAAAAAGAAAACTTTGAAACAACGATTCTTTCAATAATTTATCTATTGTTTATTAATTGAGTGATTAATACGAGCATTATCTGTAATACCTAGAGAGTTATAAATAATTCTAAACAAAAGAAGTGTAATCAATTTGATGTCGTTTATCATAATTTACCCATAATTCATCATATTGATGAGTCGATACTGCTATCGTCTGGTCAGGCAAAATGCTAATAATGATACTTTTTAGGTGTTGTTAACAGTTAGGTGAAAAAAAAAAACACAACCCGAACACTGAATTTTATCATAGTTTATGATCGTGATAAATAATTATAAATATTATTCATTTGAGTTAGAAAATATTTTGCATAACTTTATAAATATAGCGATTAAAATCGTTGAAGATGTAGATAAAGAAAGCATGGGAGGAAAAAAAATTCTTACAACTTTGTTCTCGATAGTATACACGCACGCACCTACGCACGCACGCACGCACATGTATGATAACGTTTAGTTGTTTATTGCTAAGGGTTTGCGAAACGTATCGCAATCGCAAACTTAAAAGGCCATAAATTTTCTAAACCAAAGTTGACCAAACGAACGAACTTGTTGACGTTTTACTCGTTTCGTACTTTGTTCATTTTCTTTTTTCTCCCTCTCATTCTTTATGCATTTACACATACATAGTTCGTAGAGCGAGCGACACCCAAAAATAATCAGACACTACGGTAGGAGCAATTTTATAGCTTCATATTTCGGTTGTTTACAACGCAATCATCCTAGTTATTGATTTTAGCAATTAGTAGTCTTATCATTTTAACTTTATATGAACTTTTTTTTTATGAATTTGACCTCGGTAATAGATAGTCAAAGTTTGGTCATAACTTTTTTCGACACCCTGTATGTACTTACAAAAAGCAAAGCACATATCTTCACGTAGGATTTCTTCGTCTACGAATCTTGCAAAGAATTTTTTGAAGGACAGAAATTCGACAGGGACGTGACGTTAGAGGTACGCTTGGCTTTTCCCAATTCTTTCCTCAGAAGAAATTCACAGAAAATTTTGCTATAGATACTATCGAAATAAAACGGAAATACTGCTACCCAATACGCTAAAAAGAGAAGAAAAAATGCAAAAAAACATTTGTGCATATCACACAAGTTAGAAGTGAAACCTTCAAATAAACAACTTTCGAGGATAATTTATTATAACATTATTTGTACTTTTAATTTGTAATTATTTATTTAATTATTAATTTAATTATAATAATTCGCGCCTATATGAATGCTACCCTCCAGACACAGTTTGAAAATGTTGCTTGCGATAATTACAAAGAAAGTAAATAATAAAACAATTGAATAATAAAGTTTTCACTTCAATAATAAAATAATAAATAAATGAAGAACGCGTTATGATAAAAAATGCAAGACACAGCCTGATTTTGCTTGTAAAAACTTTGACCGGAAGAGAGAAGAAATTCTCGATCGTGCTTTTCGAATTGAACTATTTTCCCTTTGAGCCATCGTTTCACTTTTAATGGCCAATCCTACACGAGGATCCAGAAACCGCCAGTGGTTTTGCTAATACCACCACCTATACTTGAAGAAATATCGATCCTTATAATACCACCTTGCTTTATCTCTCCCTCTCCTATTTACTTTCAGTGGTTATTATTATTATTATTATTTTAAATTAGGACGATTGTTAGTTGCATTTTTAAAGAATTTCTTTTGTTTTTACAAATGGGAACCAAGTTGTTATTAACCGAAATATGAAACATAAAGATTAGTCATATCGTAATGTCGTAATAGTTTTGAGTGTCACTGTATAAGAAGAAAGTTTAAACGAGATAATAAATGATATCAACGTGCTATAAAGCCTGACGTATAATTACAATCCCGTATTACAGAGCAAAAATTTATCGGAAAAGGACGACACTGTGCAACGATTTCATCGCAATACGAAGCCAGCTAAAAGGGAACGCGTAAAAATCGTAACGATTCCTTCCTTGGTATTAAACGTCTCGTTATCTGATACGATTATACCGTTTACTCGTGAATTCAAGTGTTACACTGATGTCGTTAATGCACCCAAACGATGAAACTATTCTGAACCTGTCGCATAAACACTCAAACATGAACTCAAATAACTCGATAAACATTTATCTTTTTCATCTAAATGAAAAATGTTATAAAACTAAAGAAAAAGAGAGCAAGGTTTTTTCACTATAAAACAAAGTTACTCAATTTATCATAATCGATAGTTTATATGATACATCGACGTGTTATCGAAGCGTTATCGAAGGATTGAGGGTTGAGAGTTTGAAGGGTGTAGAATAGAGAGGAGGAGTTTCGGGTGTGTAAGGATGGAAACGCATATAATAAGCTTAACGTTGTTATGCAAATGTTTCGCTAAACAAGTTCGTAAACAATTTTGGATAACGTGCAACACGTAAATCGGTCTACGTACTTACCAGCTATAGAACGTTGTAATAAGTTTAACGTAGTTCTGCTATCTTCCCAATCCTCTTTCTATCTCTCATTCTATCCTTCTGTCAAATAGACTCTTGTATACGAACAAACAGGAAGTTCTATCTCTCTGCCTATCGTCGCAAGTCTACAGAAATAGTTAGGGGTAGGTAGGGGTAGGTAGGGGTAGGTAGATAGGTAGGTAGGTAGGTAGGTAGATAGGTGGAAGTCGATCGATGCTTTAATAATAAAACGGAAGGTTTTCGCGGTATAACCACCGCGTTCTTACATACCCAAGAAAATATGTGTGGGAGGAAAAAAGCCTTTTTATTTTTTCAAACAAAGTTTCTTATTTATTCCGGATTTGATTAATATTACCAAAGTTATGCGATATTACCACACTTTAAAACATTGAAAGCACATTTTACGATACTTAATAAACACTTTATAAACAATCAAAGAGTGTTGTAACATTTTTTCACGATACCACCATGTGTAGGAAAAATATGAAATAACTTTTTCCGTATATACGACGTATATACTTTCTATCGAGAAGAGTTTATCGATTTGTGCTCACTCTCTCTTCCTTTAAAATTCCACAAAAGAACATAAAAGTGTCGAGAGTTGTGGTCATTAGCATTTAGAGTGGAGAAGGATTTATACTCCGACTACTGTGACTGCTGGATCAGGGACACGGCATGCATAGGATTATCTTCGAGAACCTGGACAATACTGACCTAATCCATTTACAAAGGA